CCAATTTTAATTTGAGTGCAACCTATTCCCTCTTGCCTTGCAAGGATCCAGATGCAAAAAATAGTTTCAAAAGGGCAAGAAAGATGTTGCTAGGTAGGCACAGCCCTCTCTCTCAGAAATTGATCAACTCACAACAATGGAAATCGGCCGATTTGATTGCTCCTACCAGGACCCTGCCGAACCAAAAAACATCACCATTGCTCCTTAGAGACATCGTGAGTTGGACCTCCTGTTGTCCACACTACACATGGTTCCCTATTTTTGCCTCCTTATTGGGAAAATAGAAATACTTGTAACTGAACAAAATGGAACAGGGCCATTCAACCGAGAGAAGATATTCAATGCAGTGATTCGAGAGATCAACATGGCTTCCAACAACCATCGACTTCTGGAAGCAATTTTTCTGTCTTTCATGATGTCGACAATTTGTCAATTAATCTTGATGTCTCCTTTTCTTGTACCACTGCACACCAACAACTTTTGCGGATTCTCCAAATTGAAGATACAATCACTAAGTGCGTTTCATATTCATATTATCAAAGAGCTTTCAACATAATATTCTTGTCTAATACCGCGCATTTTTCCTGTAGAGTCTACTCCTCTTCTTGGCTGTGAGGCAATGTTTTCAATGGATCAGTTGGGGAGAATTAATAGAGGCCCAAATTCATTCAAAGGTTGGAGTAGTGAGGATAATGACCTCTGACGACGCAACCAAATGACCGGACTGAAGATGGCAAAACGAATATAAATAAAGGCCAATTCTACGAAGGAAACTATCGGCATTCACGAGACCAGAATCTTAATCGATTGATACTTTTGAATCGTGGAAACCAAAGATAGATTACGTGGAGTGAGGGACTAGAACAGGTGAATTTAACTCCTAGATCCTGTTTGAATTATAACACGTTTGTGCGGTTACATCTCCATGTTTTGTATTCGCGATTTGTTTTTCGCGTTTTATACTGTTCAATAACTTCAGCAATTACCTTTTCTACAATGTTTACTCTTTCCGTGTCATCTTTTGAGGTAAATAGGTCAATCGCTTACTACTTCCTTGAATTCGTACAATTATTCACGTGTTGCATAAATCAAATAATCATTCTCTAATTTTGGATGAAGAAATGATATTCATCTGACTTTAGTTATAGGCATTGGGGTGGGCGATAGACTTACCTCCACGTGGTGCACCCTGGGCAACGTATACTCATACGACAAAAAGGTCTATAAAACGGCAGTTTGACTTCTGACTTCAAACAGCCATGATCTCATTGTATGTCATATTCGACTAATTCCACAGTACTTACCTCACCTTTTTTCTACCTTTCTACCTTCGTCTTTGAAACACTCTCCTGCCCCCCCCCCCCGACTTTTTTCACTTTGATGTTCCTTCCCCCCTGTGAAGACTGAAGTCAACTAAAGGGCTAATGATAACCATCAAAACGCCTGCCATTTGATATAAATAAATAAATAAGTTATTGGCCTTGACTGGGGCCGAAATTGGAGACGATGGGGTTTTCACTAGAAGATGATCAAAACAGTAGCACGGATGGTTAACTTCTGGTAATTCATTCATCTCTCGGTCATTTTCAGCTCATCTCAATTGCATAATTGACGAAATATTTGCAATTTAAAGCCCTAATTTACCAAATTCGCATTTTAAATCTTATTTTCTTAGAAACCAGATTTTTGTTGTTAGAGGGNTCTGTGGTATGGTTATTATCTTGATGGCGTACTAAAATGATTCTCGCAACCTTTTGACCCCCTTAGCTTGAGCTTTCGTCCATTCTTGGAATTATTGAAAGAAAGGTGAGCTTAGTCAGTGATGATGGGAATAGCTGGCCGTGAGAATCCCGATTAATTCGTAATTTATTTTCACAAGCTTTGGGGTATGCGATGGACTTACCTCCACATGGTGCTACCTGGACAACGTATACCCATACGGCAAGAAAGTCAACAAAACGGCAGTTGACTTCTGACTTCAAACTACTATGGCCCAACTGTATGTCATATTCGACCCCTTCCGCAGTACTCACCCCACCTATTCTCCTTACCTTTGTGTCTGTCTATCTCATTTACATCCTTGAATCAATTTTATGTTTCCCCTCTCGATTTTTTTCTAACTTTGATGCTCCCTCCTGGGGTGTGCGATAGACTTACCTCCACGTGGTGAACCCTGGGCAACGTATACTCATACGGCAAAAATGTCTATTAACCGGCAGTTGACTTCTGACTTCAAACTACCCCCACTGTATGCCATATTCGGCCCATTTCGGAGTACTCATCTTACCTTTTCTCTGCTCTTTTGTCTGTCTCTGTCACATCTGTGAATCATTATTCTGTCCCCCCTCTCGACTTTTTGTCACTTTGATGTTCCTCCTCCTCTCTGTGAAGCCTGAAGTCAGCTCCAGGGCTAATGATAACTATCAAAACGCCTGCCATTTGAAATAAATAAATAAATGTTCCCTCCTAACTCTGTGATGTCAGCAAATGGGCTAATGGTGACAATCATAAAGCCTGCCATTTGAAATAAGTAAATTTTCAAAAGCCTAGGATTATATAGAATTTAGGATATATGCGAAGGTACCTTCAAGTTGCCTAGCTATTATATTGCCTTGAGCGCTATCTGTGATCATCGTCCTGCACATTCGAATAACTGCATATTAGCTAGATTATGCTTGGTTTTTCCTTTTGGCAGTAGTACGTGCTTTTCGTTATAGTACTACAATCGCGCACACCACACACACGCTCATTGTAGTCAGCTTACACCGATTATTTTATTAACGAATTAACTGAAGCGTGTGATTGTACTTTCGGTTCCCATGAAATTGCATGCAATCTGAGATTGTTTGGTTCGTTGCCGGGTGTGCTGTTGTTGATTATATGATTCTACGAGAGGATTGCCCAAAAGCAGGATGAAGATGCAGGAGAGCAAAACGTGCTGTTCTTATTGATTTAGGGCTTATTTCTCCCAATAAAATTGAAATAACTATATTACCTTTACTTAAATAGATATTTTCAATTATAGAAACGCTTTGAACATTCTGAAAGATGATCTCCTATCGCAGATTGATGATCTTTCTGGGTAAGGGGTGTTGTTTAATTTAATTTCTCTTTTATCGTGTATTTTTATAAGAACTAGATTATATCTACTGAAAGTAATAACGTTTTATCAATAAAAAACTAATTTATTTTCCGCGTCTATCGTGTTGCCCTTTGCCATGGTAGATTACCTTGACCACTTCGGTTACCGTTTCCTTCGATTTATCAAATGGTGTTTGGTTTTTTTACTAACTTCAGCAACATCATCATCCTCGAGAATGACCTGTTAGCATGTCGCGGACAATTGGCTTCAGAGCGTGGTCTGGCCACGCAACGTGAACGTCAACTCATGCAACGCATTCAAGAACTCACCAGTCGACTTTGGGTTGCTGAAAAATTTCTTGAAAGTGCTCGAACTGGATCGATTGTGAGATGCGTATCGGAGAGGCGAATTCACGACCTGTCTTGTAATTCCACAGCGACTATTCGAAGGCGAACCAAAAGTTCTGAGCCTATTTTGACCTCGGTTTCTAATTCCTTCGTATCGGCTGAATCGGTGAAGAAGAAGAAGAAGAAGAAACTATCTGACCACTTGCATCAACCGCGTTCTTCGGTAATATTGCTTCTACTTTATATCCACTCAGTTGGGAATACTTTCTTGTGATATCTTAAGCTCTCTGTATCTTTAAATCGAATAAGTACCCAGCACAAACTCTTTAAAAAAATTGGATCTCAAGAAGAGACGCCCATTCGGCTAGCCATAAAGAACGTCATAAAATTAACTTTTGATCAAAATTTATTTATTTCAAATGGCGGGCTTTATAGTACTTATCATTAGCCCTTTAGCTGACTTCGGGCTTCACAGAGGGGAGGGACATTCAAGTCACAAAGGGTGGGGAGGGAGGAACAGAAGGTTGATTCACAGATGTAAAAGAGACAGACAGATAGACAGACACAAAGGCAGTGNTTTTTTCACTTTGATGTTCCTTCCCCCCTGTGAAGACTGAAGTCAACTAAAGGGCTAATGATAACCATCAAAACGCCTGCCATTTGATATAAATAAATAAATAAGTTATTGGCCTTGACTGGGGCCGAAATTGGAGACGATGGGGTTTTCACTAGAAGATGATCAAAACAGTAGCACGGATGGTTAACTTCTGGTAATTCATTCATCTCTCGGTCATTTTCAGCTCATCTCAATTGCATAATTGACGAAATATTTGCAATTTAAAGCCCTAATTTACCAAATTCGCATTTTAAATCTTATTTTCTTAGAAACCAGATTTTTGTTGTTAGAGGGAGGGGGGGGGGTAGGGGAGGGGGGGGGAGAACAGTGTCTTTTTCTCAAAGTAGTCTAATTAAAATTGCCTATACTCAACCTTAAATGAGAATATGACTATTTATTCGACCATTTCGCACACTCTAACAACGTACGTAATCGTAAAATATGCTGACTTTGTAGGTGAAAATCTCCTTTGATGCCTTATCTTCTTTACGCAAGAAGGCCTTTGCCGAAATGAAGCTAACAAGCTTACCTCTGATAACCTCTCTTCACTTATTTGGTAGTTCAAAAATGGCCGAATTTATTGACTCTGATGTTAAATGACTGAGTCAACTTGCTTCCCCTCCTCTTTCAGAACGTCATGTGTGGATGGTTGCCAACGTGTCGAAGTCTTGCGCACATACCATCAATCACCACCTACTCACTCGTTGAGTTAATCTCGAGAACTTTCTTACACTTGGTCAATGAGCGTTTGAGAACACGAATTACCAGATTGAATATCTTCTCTCGGTTGAATGGCCCTGTTCCATTTTGTTCAGCTACAAGTATTTCTATTTTCCCAATAAGGAGGCAAAAATAGGGAACCATGTGTAGTGTGGACGACAGGAGGTCCAACTCACGATGTCTCTAAGGAGCAATGGTGATGTTTTTTGGTTCGGCAGGGTCCTGGTAGGAGCAATCAAATCGGCCGATTTCCATTGTTGTGAGTTGATCAATTTCTGAGAGAGAGGGCTGTGCCTACCTAGCAACATCTTTCTTGCCCTTTTGAAACTATTTTTTGCATCTGGATCCTTGCAAGGCAAGAGGGAATAGGTTGCACTCAAATTAAAATTGGCAGGCGACTGTGGAGTCTTTGTTGCAGAGTAGAAGTGGATTGCAAGATATATGAAAGAGATTAGTGAGAGTAGATATAGTATCTGATTGATGAAAGAGTTTTAATGCAATGTCTTCACAAAATGTGCACTAATGGTGTATGGATTTTCTTTGGTAAATATATTTTCATTTATATGCGACACGCCTTTGTTTCATTTGGAGGATTTATAAAAATATTGATATAGGCGTCTACCATTAAAATGGGGTTGAATCAGAACTCATTGTGGAGAAGGCAATTGGTGAAGGAGTACTCATTTTTAAGCAGAGTTCTTAAGCACTAAGCACTTGCACTACAACACACTTTTGACATTCAATAGCTTCCAATGAAAGAAAAGCGAAGCAACTTGCATTGAATGAACACTGTTCACTTCTTTGTTGATCAAATCGTTCCTTATATTGTGGAGTTATTAAAATGCATAAAATGACACTATTACTTATGTTTGGTGAAGTGAACACATCATAATTCATTCTCATCACCTTCTTGCATCTCGAAATTTCGATTCTTCTGTAATGCGCTTCGTTACCACCTGCCTGTCTTTTTCATCAGAGCATCCCTTAAAATTCTCCATACCTGTGGCTGTGATAAAGTTGAATTTCATACCACTTTGTTCCAATTATTGAAATTTCATTGTTTATATCATGTAAAATCGATAGCCTATGCCAATTGGATACATTCTATCAGGGGGAATAGCTTCGAGGCGTCTAGCCCTGCATTCAATCGTATTATTTTCTGCGATCCTAGAGGTCACCAAAGACCACATGGTAAAACAGTGATAGAAGGGAAAAGGCGGCACATCGGTGTTCGTCCATGCTCTCGCGTTGGTAGGCTTATCCTATACACTAGATAGGCATAATGGACAAGCAAGTGAGTGGTGGACTCCCAACGAATACAATAGCATTCGTGCGAGCGCCCTCTCGCGTATACACTTGGAAATAACTCATTTCCTCTCAATATTATACGAGGTAGCCTATTTGTGCTTTTTTACCGGATGTGTCATCGTAATAATGTCAATCGTAGTAACTTTAATTAACATCTTGCATGTTTACCAACCGGTGTTGTGAAATACTTCGTTGGTACAACAAAGGAAACGCCTCCACAGTGTGTGTGTGTCTATAAAAGTATGTCATTTTAATGAATAATCAAGGAATTTTGGATTTTTCAAGTATCAATTGGTCAAATACTTTGAGGTAAAACATCGATGCCAACTTTTTACTAATTTGCTTTACCTTAAGAGTGCATTTGCATTATTGGACCAGAATGGATGGAAGGTGTTCTGTAGGGGCTCTTATGAGTAATAGATGATTTATCTGCTCTCTAGTCGATCAAAATTAAGCAGCGATATTTTTCATCTAAAGTAAATGACGCGCACTGATGATCTAACTTGTTGACTATAAATTTTGTTCACCTTATGACAATTTATTTGTTGATCAATATCAATAGGCAACGGAAGTAATAAACTAGTGAACTACCAGGTGAAAGTGTAAAATATAGTTAAATACAGATGTAGAGACCTCTACAGGTGAGTGGGGAGGAAGAGGTGGGGGGGGGGGGGGGGAAGGGGAAGGAGTTAGGGTAGTTGGGCGGAAGGAGAGAGGCACTACTCATAGGAAGAGCGTTAATAATGCTTGACAGTTACTGCAGCAATTCTAACTGACTCATGAGGTCATAAACACAGAGGTTTGCGGTTATTGGTGGTGGTTTCACTCGCATAAAATGGATGACATAGGAATTCACATGGCGTGCATGTATTTCAGTGAGATATTGACTTAGATAAAGCGAGGAGTGACTAGGTGATTTTAGTCTTGAAATAGAGTAGGGAAACTGTGATAATAATAATAATTTAATCAGAACTGAATGTTACTTCTTTTTGTCTCTTTGAGAAAGGATACCCCACATTCCTGACTGAACTACCTCTTTCTTTGTCCCTAATTGTGCATTTTCACTCTCTTCCCAAATCAGTATTTCCACTCCCTCCGATGATAGTGAAATCAGTTGAAGATGTGTGACGATATCTGAAGGACTTGTTTTGTTATGGTGGAAGTTCAGTTGTATCGCAAAACTATTATTAGTTGACAATTTTATCGGTTCTGTAGAATTTGATTACCTCGTCATGTCTTATTCCGATATATTTGTGCTATACTATAGATATTGCACTTCCAATGCTTGCCAAATATGTCTATCACCTTCCCTTCTCTCTTATTTGGTTTAAATCTAGTAGTGGCATTTTAAACCGCTGGAATAGGTCATTACAGATGCAGAATGCTTTGAATTTGTCAATAAAGATCACACTAATTATTTCTATGGAATATTGTTTTCTTATCTAATCGTTTAACCCATTTCTATTATTAGTAGTAGTAGTAGTATTAGTAATGAAGTTTAGATAAAAAAACTAGTTTATTAATTTTTTTATTTTGGTACGATAATGGAGAAGTATGTCATACGAACTTGTGCAAAAACAGTGGTTTTTAAAGTCATCTGTAATTGCGGGACATGTCATCGCATGCCTGCACGCCATGATTGGGAGGTGCGACCCCCTCTGTTTGTTTAACCTACCGTACAAACAGTGACCAATCATTAACCTCTGTTTGTTTAACCTAATCCGCCATCTGATCATGATTAAGCTTCCTGCGTGTATATTTGATCCTCAATACCCGTACTGAATAAACGTGCTCCGTGCTACACGTCGAATATACGTCCTGAATAAACGTGCTCCGTGCTACGCGTCTCTTCCCTTATAGCTGGGCTATAGGTTAGCTTGTTCTGGGAGTCTAGGCAACACGTCTGTTTCCTTTATAGCTGGGCTATAGCTTAGCTGAATTATACGTCTGTTTTCTTTATAGCTGGGCTATAGCTTAGCTAGTTCGGGAGTCTAGCTAGATGTAGGAGAATCTGCCAGAGATTTCTCGGGAGTCTAGCTAGATGTTGGAGAATCTGCCATAGAGACTATCTTGCCATCGAGATTTCTGAGTCAGTCAGGCTTTACTAAGGTGTTTAGCTGGTTCTGGGAGTCTAGCTAGATGTAGGAGGATCTCCCATTGAGATTTCTGAGTCAGTCAGGCTTTACTAGCGTAGCCAGAGATTTCTGAGTTAGTCAGGCTTTACTAGAGTAGCAATATTTCTGAGTCAGTCAGGCTTTACTAGCGTAGCAATCCGTGTTTTCTGAGTCAGTCAGGCTTTAATAAAGTAGCAATCCACAACATAATTAAGTGGTAGTTTCATATTATTTAGAAAATTCTAGACATCCATTTTGGCGTTTCCTTTTAGACGTTCCTCGTGAACGTAATTGTTGCAACCATTATAAACTCAAATTTCTCTTTTTCTAAGTACTCTCTCTATCACAACAAGCCGAAAACCGTATCCTTTTGAAGAGAAGCAAAACACAACAAAAGAACGCACTTGACAGATTGATGACTATTGTTTAGAGGGGGAAAGAAGGAGAGAGGGAGAGTGGGGAAGAGTGAGAATAATACCGCAATTTGCAAGTGCTCCGGCTTTGGCACAAATTCATATTATCTTCTTTAATTACCTTCGATTTTTAACTTTCTAACACTACTCCACATTATACAACTCTTCTCATCTAATCACCTATAATTTCAAATCTATTGCGAAGCAATAATGCCTTTCCTCTGTTTGTTCACTGATAACATTTTTTCGTCTTCTCTGCACCTACTAATTACTAGAATGGGTAAGATGCATGCAAGCGTTGCCTATCCTGCTTTACTCGTTTTGCACTTGTGTTCGTCCAAAAGACCACAACTTGAGGGCATTTTATTTCATCAAAATGACGAAGATATCAATATTGGAATCAGTGAAGAAGAAAAGGTTTTGCTGTGGTAGATATTTATATTATAAAGAACAACGTCCCTTTGCAAAGTTGGCTAATTCACATCGATAGAATAACGTAAACCTCATAAGATAAGTGATGAAGATTCCAAATGAGTTGGGTCAATTTGAAATGATAACTCGTCCCATATTGACACAACATCTTCCACCGGCACTAAAAACTTGATTTCACAGTTCCCAGCGACAAAAGTCAACTCCAGTAGATGAAAGACGCCAATATGAGAAAACTGGATAAAATTGGTTGCAAAGTTATTGCATGTTAACAAGTAGTTCTTGAAGTGTGAAATAAGCAGTTTGAAAATCCTCGTCAAATTCGTGGCATCAACCAAGCTCAAGAGGTAGTCGAATTCACTCTTCAGACTAAGTAAACTGTCAGAAGGTCATTGAGGTCATCTTGACATTTCTTCAGATTAAGCTCATATCCCACTTCAGTAAATTCAAGGTTTGAATTGAGAAGACAAGATAGAACTTACCTTTTTTCTAGATTGTCTGCATTTCTGTCGAACTTATTGGGTTGGCAACTAAGTCATTGCCGTTTTTGTTGACAGATTCACTCTATACTTTCTTTTGTTTTTTAACGAGGCCAGAGCATCTAACCTATATTTTT